GGTTTTGTCCTAAAAAAATGAATTAATGAAGAATCAGGATTTTTGTGCACTAAAAATTAATTGGATTAATGCAAATAGCCCATAAAAATCGAATTATATATATCACACACTCCACATAATACCCCAAATGCTAAAACCTATTCATGATGAGAATTATTTCTGCTGTATTAATTATCGTAGTATCACAAATTCCAATTATAAATTATTTTTAGCTAAAATAATCTAAGCAAAACAAAAGAAGATCTACCTATTAGGGTGTGGATAAAGATTAAGAGTTCAGATTCTCCCAATATATATATATATATATATATAAAGTCAATTCATATATCTGAATTCTTTTTTTTTTCTGGCCAAATATATCTGAATTCGAGTTTCAACAATATATTCAACCTTCATAAATATTATCATTGTAACATTATGACATAAAAAAATTAATAATTGAATATTGAAATAAAATATTATTTGGAAATGAACTATATATATCAATCCCGCACATTTTATTCCCCCGCATATATATATTGTGCAACTTTTTTGTAATATTTATCTACTTTTATATCTATATATATAAAATTCCTATAATAAATTATACCATTTACAAAAGATGAATGATAAGGTTTACTCTCTCAAACAAAGCTTAAAAATCTAGTCAAGACCAAAAGGAAAATGTTAAAAGGGAATGACATTTAAAGCTTAAAATATTAATTTAATGACATTAGGTTCTAAAATTTTGTTAAAAATTAGTTTTAAACATGGATTCAAACAGTTATAAATATGTAAATCTTCATTACAAATAAGATAGTTAAGTTTCATTATATCACATCAAGTGACTTACTATTGAGAATATCAAATGTATATAATTATTTAAGTCAAAATTTATAATTTATCTTGTAACAATTTTTTTCCCTAACAATCATTTGACCAAATTTAAAACATAATCATCCAAAAAGTTAGTCACTGTTGAATTTGATAACACTCACACCGCAACTTACTTGTTAAAGTCCATGAACATGATCATTTAGCATTTAAAATGATTGTGAAGTTGTATAAAACTAAAAGACTATCATGGGCCATTTATTTTAAGTTTGATTTGTTACATGATGTTATGCGATGCATAAAGTCATATCTTCATCATTGAAATATATGATTGGAGGTTGGCCCAAATATATATATATATATATATATATGATTCGAGATTCCAAACTTTTTTCTCCTATAATTAAGCATGAAAAACATAAAACCAAGAATAGAGTGTTACACTATAAAACAAGTATAACTTTGTTTATATCCAATCTCATATCATACCATCAAACAAATTCATCTATAATTTTTCAAAAATTATTGTTTACATATATAAAATCATTGATATAATCTTTTTTTGGCCAATTAAAAAGTCAATAATATAATTAAATATAAAATATATGAAGTAAAATCAGTGCCATCTCATGTACATGGGTTTTAATTAAGTTATTTTTGCTACCTTCAATCTATCGGAATATATATGCACGTGCAAACCAGGAACGGATCTTATTCTCATTAATCTCAAGGCAATTATTATGTAATTTATGTCCTAATCAACCATCTTGTGTGGAACAAGCCTAAGCCTAACTACCACAAGAAAGAAGATATCTCTACATATATTTTGTTTTTTATTTTATGCAATTTGGATCACTCATTAAGTGATATAAGAATAACATTTATAAAGTTAAAGTAAACATACCCATATAAATTTTATACTTTCCGCCGATAAAATTTAATCTAATTAATAAAAATTTAGTTCATAACTTATAAGATCATGGGATCAAATCCGACTGCTGATATGAGAACTTTATTGTTGAGCAATTTGTAAGTATCTTTGTACATGTTATTTAAACTTAGAGGTATGCTCGAACTTTGATGAGCTCCTGAAATCCAACTCAAATAAACTTTTGTATATAGGGAAAAAAAAGATTTTATACTTTCCTATTATTTTCAAAATTCATACAAACTTTCTCTTAATTTTAATAGGATTACACAGATGCCCTCTAATTTCAAAATATACACATACTTCGTTTAAAATGTTAAAATGACACAAATATCTTTTTTGTTTTTAAATATAAAAAATTCAAAAAGTGGAAGGAAATTAAGAAATTATGTGCAATTTCAGTGAAACTTAAGAGAAGATAACATATGTAAATACATGCTTTCTTTAAAACTACTATTTATATGATTTTCACAGTGTAGCCAAACACGATCTAAATACTCAATTATCTGAATTGAACCCATTCCTGCATCAAATCGATGAATAATATAAATTAAATTTCAATAATATCTACTAATCACACGAGTCGTTTGATGCATTCATTTTGCCAACGTGATCTAAGATGATATTCCAATTCCAGACAAGAAATTATCTAATTAACTTAATTAAATTCTCCATCAAGCTTCCAGTGATATTTCCTTTGTTTTTTATTATATCCACAGCTTCAATTGAAATTATTGAAAAAATCTTCTGGTTAATAATATTTGAATTTGATTGTTGATAAAATATAATAACATCGTGTAATCTCGTTATATATTATAGCCTCAACTGAATCTCTAGCAAATCCTAAATTTCAAAATGGTCAAAAGAGTTGGCATCAATGCAAGATTCCCTTTCAGGGGTGATGGACCAATTAAGAAAGCAGAAGATGGTGGAGGACATGATAGGACCAAGCACAGAGCTTCATTGAATTTAATCACATTTGACATATTCTACTCCTTTATTTATTCATCTAATTTGTTTGTGATCCTAATTCCTTCCTTGCTAGTCATATCCAGACTTTTGAAGCGGCTCAAGGATTTGACACGAACAAAAGACAAATCAAAGCATCGTTACTTTTTCTTCCACAATGCATATCAAGAATTCTCGAAGGCGTCGGATTACATGTGAGCCATGTGCTTATAATATGAAAAAAATATCATACCCCATAATAATATGGCACGTCCATCAAGATTTAGAATCCTAGCAAACCTACTTTTGTATCAAATTTCATTGAAAAAACAATTAAAAAAAACCCTCTAAAATAAAAAATAACAATAATTTGGTTTCATAAGATGTGAAAATATCTTTTAAATCTCAAAAGTCTCAATTGTTATTAAATTTTTAATGAAATAATAAAAATATTTCTTATAATTTTAAAAAAAGTGTAATAAAAAATTTATTCATTCACAATCTTAACTCTAAAACTCAAATCTAATTTACTAAATAACTAAAATAGTTTAAACATTTACAACTTTCTCTCAATATTTTACCAATCAACAAAGTGCAATAAAACTTTTTTCCTTCATAACTTTAATTTTAAAATTCACAATTTTAGTTTCATAAATAACTAAAATAATTTGAGCATTCGCAACTTTTTCTCACTATTTTTTTCAATCAACAAAATACAACAAATTTTTTTGTATTCACAACTTTGATTCTAAAATTCACAAGTTTAGCTTAGAAAATGATTAAAATGATTTAATCATTCACAACTTTCTCTCATCATTTTTTTCACTCTTTAAATCAAGAGGTATTTTGGTAATTTGATTAAAAGTTTAATGACAATTAGATCCCTTGAGACTTCAAAAGCATTATCACATATCACATTTCATATAACTATATTGTCATTTCGTTACTTTGGAGAGATTTCTGTCATTCCCCCGATTTCATACCCTTTCTTCTTTTTTCCCCTATTTACCATCCAATGTGATATCCACGTAAACATGACATCAACATTCTTTTAAGACTTTAGTGATATTCACCATATAAATGTATAGAGATTAAAATACTCGCATCACTTAAACTATCCTAAGATGATAATAGTTTTTTTTTTTTTTTGTGATTCTCTTGTAAAAAAGAAAAAGAAAAAATAATGGTAATGGCAAGACGCCATACTAAGGAATAAAAGTTAACTACAGGGCATATTAGCTAAGAACAAATTAATGCATCCAGGAAGAGAAGTATGTCATGTTTGGAACTCAACATGAGGCATAACAAGCAGTGGCTGAGCCAAGACTTTAGGTGAGGGGAAGCAAAATCTTAAAACTCAAAAGCAAGGATACAAAATATTAAAACTTAAAAATAGGTCAAAATTTCCAGAATATAAATGTAAAATATTAAAACCTAGACACCAAATTTATAATAATCTCCAAAATGAAGGGGGTGCCCCTCCACCGATAACAAGTAAGCCAATTTGCACAAGAATTTGCATCCTTAAAAACATAAGTCATACATGACCATGTTATAATTCATGCATGCTACATCAGAGCTATAATTCATTTAGCATGTTAATTTAATATGCCATGTCTACATATACATACACACATAAAACAATCTCTCTTTTATTACCAACCATGTATAAAATGAAAATCATGTATACATGAGAAAATTAGTTTAGAGGCTTCTTTCTTTCTTTTGGATATAATAAGCTCGTTAATTGGTGTGCTGACAAGTGACAGATAAGGATAGTGAATTTCCCTCCTCAGCTAAAACACCACGGGGCAAGAATCTGAACACTGGTACAAATACATTTTTAAAAAATGCCTTGCTCAATCCAAAGACATGAGACAAAGTCATATACAATGTTATAGCAACGGGGAAGTTGACAAGCCTCTAAAAATGTTGAACCATGTGATGTGTTGGGAAGTCAGAGGGTGAGAGGGAGAATTAGAGTCAGGTTCAATGTAATGGAAAGTGGTTTGACGCAGAAGACCAAAGAAAACTTGATTGAAGCTGATAAGCCGCAAATTGAAATGTTGGGTTCATGATTATCAGCTTCACAATCACAGGTGTGAGATGTACATAAGAAGCTTAGTGCCCATTAGGATTAGCATCAATTGGTCAAAAGGAACAATAATAATTTCTCCTCAAGATGTGGATACCACCAAAAGCAAACATTGACAGCAGCAGCCTAGAGATAAGTGCAAAACACATCTTTAATTCCATGCCTCTCACTCTTGTCTTTCTACCTTTACTTTTCCTTTTTTCCATTTTTCTTTCCTTTTCTTTTCTTTTTTTTTTTTTGGTGTGAGAGCAAGAGCATCATTTATCGACAAAAATTAACCTCCCTTTGAAAAACCCCTCCCAACAAAGTTTACTCTGCATGAAAGTTATCAATCAAGTATCAATATCATTTGATTTAAAGATGAAAGCCCATTTTTCACTTGATTTTGTATTATTTAATTTGATTTTTTTTTTTTTGCTGTGAAATTTTTTTTTTCATTCATTTATTTCCATAAACAAATGACATTTTTCATTTATATATCATTGTAATCAAACAAAATGTTAAGAGTTAAATCTCAACAAAGAACATAAAATATAGTCTTACATGTTTAATATTATGTCTTATCTGGTTGATATTTTTTATTGTTGAGATATATTTTGACATCCTTAATGCTATACAATACAAAATACCTACAACTTGAGTATTATCGTTTTCTTCTCTTTTTCAGGGGAGGCCATTGCACAAGATATCCCACAAATCACATAAAAAATGAATAATCAATATTCAAGATCCAGCAAGACAACATGCATTGTCGTAGATCATTTAGCAGAAAATCCAGATATGCGGTATTTGTAAACTTCCATGGGCCCAAAAATTTCCACCTCCCAATGCCAGAGCCTAATAATTGAAGCATTATGGCCCAACCCAAATGCACCTAATCATGTTGAATGGCACCTACAAGAAAATGTGTCGGAAAAAAACTGTAGAAAAACTCCTCCTTTCTCACTCGCTATCTACAAACACATTTAATGGAACTAAAAGAAAATATCATATTAAGAACCTTCAACATAGCACAAACATTTTTCTCCTTTACTGCTATAATACGAGTCAAATATAAATAATGACCAACTGTGTGCGCGTGAATGTTTCATCCACCCAATCAGCATAAATGCTTCATTTTTTTTTTTTTTCAATGAAAGCATGTTTCATCTTTTGTTATTACTAGTTACACGCAAGAGCTCATGCTTTGAGACGATAGATACCAGATCATCAGCGTGCCTTTTACTTCGAAATCCAACTCAAAAAATAAGAAAATGAAACTAATCAAAAGACAAACATGTGATCACTTCAGACACTAGAGAACAGCTTGAGTTTTGTGAGTAGTTATCAAGTTCTTTAAACCGACGAATTGACAAGAGATTTTTTTTTACCAGACTCAACATATGTTGTGAATTGTAAGTATTCATCTAATGCATCGTGACAAGAAGCACCCAAAAAAATCACAGCTAGAAGGTCAAAAAACAAAATTACAGCTATCAGATCTCAGGAAAGAAAGAATTAATTTTCAAAATAAAGTCCAGAATGCAAAAACAAGGCATTACTTTGGTAAACATATGCTGGCAGCACTAAGCAGTTTGATTCAACATGTTAACCAGAACAGAGGGTAAGAAAGGTTAAAAAGACAGGAATCATACATGTCACACACCAATGGCTCTAAGGCAGCTTGTTTTATGGAAGCAACAAGGGCTCGTATGCAGGTGCATGCAGCTCCTTCCCTGACTTGCACAGCACCTGGTCAATAGGCAAACATCTAACAAGGGAACCAAATAATAATCACAAAGAGATCAGGTCCAGAATGTAAGAGGAATATTACACTACTTCGTAATGGTAGATTTAAAAAGAGGGGCCACACCCACACTAGACCGCTACTCAGTCCCTAAGTTTACAGAACCATCTTTCACCAACTTCAAGCTCAAGCTGTTGAATCTCCCTCGTGAATAATGCCTAGAGGCTTTCCTCCAATCTGTTCCAGTTTTCATCATAGATACAAATTCATCATAGCTGATACGGCCATCCTGTGATTGTGTAAGCATGTCAGAGGGTAAGACTCATCTTCATATCAAATAAAGGTGGGAAGGGGGAACCGTATGAACCATGTACCTTGTCTGTGTCTACTTCCTGGAAAATATCATTTGCTACAACTGTACAATCATCTGCACCATCCTCCGTCAAGGCATCCCGTAGCTCGTCTGGTTCAATATAGCCATTTCCATCTTTGTCAAAATAGGAGAAGGCTTTGTGAAGATGCTCATCATTAGCCATCCTTTTTAAATGCAGGGAAACAGCAACAAATTCTCCGTAGTCAAGTGTTCCCTTCCCATTAGTATTTACCTGTTGGCAATATAAAAGGGTTCAATTTGATAGCTAGAACACAGTATTCCAAGCTATGTTGTTAAATTGAAATTTTCAGCAGTGCAAAATGTAGTGAACGAAATGCTGTTATTACTTGATGAAGGGTACACTACCAAATAATATAAGTTCTTAGGCAGATAAGTAAGATGAATACGAAATGCTGTAACTTGTAATTCATGCAAGATAGTAAAATGATTGAGTTAACCATACAGCTTCAATCAAACTCTGAACTTCAGACTCAGCAAGTTGAGATCCAAAATTTTGAAAACCCGCTTTTAGATCTTCAACAGAAACAATGCCATCATTGTCACTGTCCATCTTCTTGAACATTTCTTTGATGTCCTCCACTTCTTCAGTGGATAAGAAATCAGCAATGACCTATTTTCAAATGTACAAATTTAGCTCTATCTCACAGGGAATATACAGTAAAATCAGATTAAATATTAACAGATGCAACCAACCCTCAGGGCTTTTCGTTTGAATCTGTTCATCATCGAAAACTGCTTAAGCCTGGACTTGACTACATCACCAAGGGGAATGTTAGGAGCCTTCTTAGCATTTTGAAGCCAAGGATGTTCTGCAAGCACAAAATTAGCACATAATGAGTAACATGTGGGAATGAGAAAGCCCTTCACATTGGATTAACTAATCTAAACATCATCTAACTTGAAAGCAATCAGGCATGGGGGCAACTTCAGACTGGATGACTTACGTTGCAAATGCATCTCATATTTAATTATAATATGGATATCAGTTCTCATAACTTACGTTGATTGATGAGCATTTACAGAACTGGAAACAATGCACAGCATCTCATATCTAATTATAATATGGATATCAGTTCCATAACTTATGTTGATTGATGAGCATTTACAGAATTGGAAATAATGCACAACGCATAAGGAGAGGGGTAAATTGAATTGAAGAACCCAACATATAGGAAACATTATAAGGGTGTAGAAGTTAGCACCTACTAACTACAACATAGTATGCAAAACAGGAAAAATAAAATAATGGCATCCCTCTGATAGAGAAATTAAGCACAAAATAAATGGAACATACCGAGCACCTGCTTGGCAGTTAATCGAAGCTTGGGATCTGGTTCTAACATTTGCCTAACAAGACTTTTGGCACTCTCTGAAATACTGGGCCAAGGTTCCCGCTTGAAATCTATAAGACCTCGAAGAATCGCCTGTGCAACCCCCTGCTCAGATTCTGCATTATAATTAACCTCATGGTAAAATAAGATGTTTTCCTGTGACTTGCAAGACGGGACCAAAGTTCACAAGTAGGAAGCAACTGCGCATGAACCAAATATGAGATAGTAATGTACATGGACCAAGCAGAAGCAAAAAAAGCTTCTAGCCTAAAACCCTAGCACAAGAGATATAACTTATGTCGATCTCTCTCATTCCATATTAGAACTTTGATGTATAAGGGCATGAGCATTGATACAAAGACCAGGAGCAAGCATGAATGTTCCTATCCCAGACATGGTGATTCACGTAATGTCCATGCAGATAGTACTGCCAGAGGGAATGCAATTACCTGCCCAAAATGGGGGAACACCACAAAGCAAGATATAAAGAATTACTCCCGCACTCCAGATGTCTATTTCTGGCCCATAGTTCCGCTTGAGCACCTCTGGAGCCATATAATATGGACTTCCAACAATTTCTGAGAATCTCTCACCTGAAAATTCGAATAACACCCATACACTAGCATCATAGAAATCATGTGTGTATTCTTCAAGCAAGGGCATCGAAAATATAAGTATGCAGTCTAATGCTATGGGTTTGGAGTAAGAAGACAATCAAAAGAGGGACCAGAACAAAACCAATACCTAGTCAAGAAAATAGAATTGTGATTGCAGCATCCTAAAACTTCCCCACAATTATAGTTATATAAATGAACGGTCAAAGCAGAAAATTAAACTAAAATAGCATTTCCTTACACATTGAGCACTTCCAGGTTATCCCAATGAAAAGGGGGAAAAAAAAAAGCAAGCAGTTTATGTTGTCTGAGCAACTCCAAGCGCTTGCCATGGGGAACAATTCTTTATCACATTATTGATTATTGATATATACCTGCCGTCAGAGATATGATATATAGCTCCTGTCAGAGGTATGATATATCTATATATACACACACACCATAACCCTTATCCCAAAGCTTGCATTCTAGATTTCTAGTACAAGTTTTTCATTGCCATGATATGAAATCCTTTGTGACCAAGTTTTCAGAATTCTTGACAGTTCATATTGCTCTTTTAAATTATATGCAGTAACCCGGGACCCAGCACTAATGATTGTACTTGCCTACCTACAGTATGTAACTAACAAGCTAAGGTTTTGCTGATCTTTCACCATCAGCATTAACCCAGATTTAAGATTAACCCTACATTTCTAGTTCTGGATTTACAATGGACCAATGCAAGGGCTCCATTAGCAGAGTTATATTTTCAGATATGTAAAATGAAGGATTTAGGTAGTTCTTTGAAGAATGGAGAATTTGATTCTTGTTGACTGATTAAGACTTAGGAGTATATGATTTTAGCCTGCCCAGAGCCAGGCTACATGTCTGAGATAGGGAGCAAATATTTGATAGGTATAAGTATGGCCATTGAGTCTGTCTGCTAAGGGCTTGAATTAGAACAGTTCAAAAGATTTTAGTCAAACATCAGAAGCCCTGCACATCCCATGGATACTAAATAGGATTTTTCTAGATTATTTCATGCTTGCAATTCCAACATTCTGTGACTACTAACTATTAATAACAGTATCAATTATCAATTATTATGTAACTACTTAGTATATTAGCGTTATCAATTATTCTTACATTAGTGGGTCATGACCTGACAAACAGAAAAGCGTGATTCCACTGACTTAAGCAGCCAATGATATATTATACATGGAAGCTCATGATCATGGGCAGATAGTTTATGAAGAATAGGTTGTCCATTTTAGTTCAAGCGTTCAACAATATACTTTTGACAAGTATGATCCACTTAAATAATATTTTTTCCGCATGTCGATGGGGGGATATGGATGATAAAGAAATCCACTGCATCCACAACCTAGCTAGGGATCATAACCGTCCCAAAGAGTAGAGATCCACTAACAGAATTGTCTAAAAGAACAAAATTTACACAACAATATAACAATGCACTTCAACGAACTGCCTGCGCAGCCCATTAATATTAACTAATCCTCTCCGCCAACCCTCCAACCCGTCGTCCAAGACAAAGGCAAAACAACTGATGGTATCATGAGATATTTTTTTAAAATTCATTAATCCTAGCTTCTCACACCTGAGATATAAGGCTCCATAAGGTTCCATAAGGCACGATAAGACAACCAGATTCCCGTATTAAAATTATTACCTGGCTTGAAGAATATAGACAGGCCGAAATCGATAGCCTTCAAAGGTGAATTCTCTTTCTTATTGGCGAACAAAAAATTCTCCGGCTTCAAGTCCCTATGAATAACCCCATGCTTGTGACAAAGTTGTACAACTTCTACAATCGTCCTTGTGACCGCAGCAGCAGCTCGCTCAGTATAATGCCCACGTGCCACGATGCGATCGAACAGCTCACCACCCTCGCACAATTCCATGACCAAATGCACGGCATTGTCGTCCTCACACGCTTCCTTCAAGCTCACAATGCTGGAACTCTTGGGCAAGTGCTTCATAATGGCCACCTCACGCCTGACATCCTCAATGTCCACCGCAGTCCTCAGTTTCCGCTTGGAAATGCTCTTGCAAGCCAATAACTCCCTAGTTTCCCGCTCAATACACAGATAAGTCACACCAAACTCGCCTCGACCAAGCTCCCGATCCACCAAGTACTTCTCCTCTATGTTCTCCTTGGGCACATCCGTAAGAACCGTAACCCGATTCTTCTTGGCGGCGTTGGAGTCCCTCTTGCCGTGATCGTGGCCGGAGAAGTTGGCGGACTTAACATCCTCCCTGGCAACAGCAGCCGGAGATCTACAACAATTCCCCATCCCGACAGGACCACTGCCACCAAGCCCTCGATCTCGTCACACTGATCTTACGAAACAGTGAGAAATTACAGAATCTAGGGCTTCACATGATAATGCAGAAACCCTAACCCTAAGTAAGAGCGGGAAAGAGGTTCTGAGGGCACTGTGATATCGAAGCTAGAGAGAGGGGGGAGGTAGAAAGGGGGAAGGAGAGGGGTGACAGTGAAATCAGTGAGAGTGTACGGTAACGGCTGGAACGCTTTTTTAGCAAAGGGCACGTCTTTTGGGTAATTATTATATTTCACTTTTCAGTTTTTGTTGAATTGTCTGAATTATTTTTAATTGATTTATTTTACATCGTCGTCTTTCTTTACGGTCTGTGAAGCCTGTCGGCTGCGCTTCTCTGTCGGAACGGGACGGAGGAGAAAGGAGTTGCCAACTCAGAGAAGAGGCCGTCCTTTGAAAAAAAATTGAAGGTTTTGTTTAGGTTTGCATTATGTTATTTGTATCTATAAATGCAACAATAATTAAATGTTTTTCATGCAGAAATGTTGATGTTGACATGCTATCATGCGGAAGAATTCTTATTCTTAGATGCTCCTTGTTAATTTATATCCATGCGTGTTGCTAGTGTATAAGATTTAGTGTAGCAAGTGAAAAAATTATGCTCAACATTAAATACATTCAAACATGTCTATATATATTTATTCTTTTCAATTTTATTTACAAGTCACTTCTAACATACTCTCTTCAATCCAGATTATAAGTCACCTTTTAGAAGGCAAACTTAGTCTATAATATTAGTCACTCAGGTCAAGTTTTTGTATTTCAAAATAGAATTTTCAAAATACCCATCTCTTTTTCTTTCTCACTTTCTCTTTCTCGATGCGTCTGACCTACTCTCTCTCTCTCTCTCTCGCTTGTTCTCTCATCATCTTCGGCCTCTCTTTGTCAATCGCCTCTCTACTGTCAAGCTCCCCATTTCTCTATTGCAATTCCTCTTCCGTTGTAGATCACACAAGTCTCGTTGATCAATTTATGTTTTGAGATATCACTGGATTCTCGTCGTTCAAGTCTAATGGAAGAATATTTCGAGGGTCTATTGTAGGATCAACTAATGGGGTGCGTAGTCGACAATTCTCTTGATAGGGAAGAAGATTTATGGTTGCTTGACTTCTCTGGAGAGGTAACCTCTCTAAATCAAAAGATTTTGAAGGCACCTCATCTGAACAATTCTTCCCTTGCGTCTTCTAACTTAGTCAAGGTCATGTGTGGGAAAAAGGTCTACTCATTTGACTTGAATAAAGAGGCAATTAAGGATGGTAAAGAAATGAGCAACAGCAACGTAACTCGATTTTAGGGTTCGAGAAAGCAAGTAAAAAGAAGAAGATTGTCCACCCATTTGACTTAAACAAGTTTCCATTTGCAGAGGAAGATTATGCACATCTAACCACGAAAAAGAAGGACCATAAGCGATTTGTGTATGACACTTTGCATTATATGCTTTAATTAGTCTCAAATTTCTATGCCTTTTGTGTAATTTTAGTTAGTCTGGAATTTAAACTTATTTTGATCAATGATAGATGTTAAGCTTATGGGCTGTTAGTCTAATGGATGATGATATTCGAGATAGTAATACTCTATTATGTTAATAATCCACTTATATTCTGTGCGCATCTCTGTTCGATTCCGTTACAACGTGGGTGTTCTATTTTAATGGAAATGGATCTTGTGTTGGGATCTTATAAGAGAGATATTAGGCTAAGATGTGGCCCTTTTTAAGTAAGATTCATTACTACTCTTGGTTTCTCTATTAAAAGACAACTTGAATTAGGAAATGAGATTTGGTGTCTTCAAATATTGCATTAAAATTTGGAAATACCAAGTGATAAAATTTTCCTAGTATGATTCTTGTGCCTTATAAATTCATGAGCAATAGCCAAAGTTGTAGCCTTTCTTATCTCAACTTCAATTACATTCTCTTTCCCACAGACAATGTTTTCTCGAATGGTCCCAGCAAAAAAGGTTGGCTTCTAACTTACAAAAGCAGTATGTGACCTTAGCTCTCTCAAGTTATAGGATTTTATGTCCAATCTATGTGCACCATTTTGTTCACTAGTGTGTAAAACCTTTCAGTAAGAGCAATAATAATTGATTTACCATGCTGCTTACTTTAGACAAGTCAGAAGTCATGCGTCTAGCTTTTGCAATAATATAAGCACTGAAGAACAATATATAAAATGCTTCTTTTAGCTCTTAAATCTCAGTTCTTTTTTTAAATCCATAACTAATTAATACATTTCAATTAGATTTTTTCCTATTTTTTAAATCAACTTCATTCCATGCATGAATTAATTTCTCTTGTGTCACTTTGTTCATATTTATGTCACCTTGATTAATTTCTTCATTTATCTTATTTGCTTAACATCTATTACAAAATAAATACTTCATTTTCAATGACATCTATTACAAAATATTGACTGTTAATATTATGTGTTGCAATTTATATGACAAATTGTAACACAAAATATTAATGACTAAAATATAGAGGATCCATAAAAATATCCACCCCTTAATCTCAATCACCCATCCACTTGTGCTAAGTGCTCTAACACTTCTTCAACTAGGTTGGGATCATACTTAAGTTGATTAGGCAATTCCTCTCTTCTTTCCATAACATCCTTCTTTAAATGGCTTTGCTTGTACTTATTTGAACATTTGTCCTTTATAATGTTGATCATAGTAGCTTATAATGTTAAGAAGATTCTATTCAATTATTTGGATGTGTAAACTTCAAATGACTTCTCCACAACCTTGACAAGATCATCTATAGTTTTAGGTGCTTCTTGGTGTTGTAGTGCTTGAATTGCTCTAAAATAACCAAGATCCAAAATGTTTAAATTAAGGAAATTTGGGGATTAAGAAATCAAGCGAATGTTAAACCCACCATTACTTGCTGCTATACGAAAATCCACATTATTGTCATTAATGTGACAAGAAGCAGTATCTTGTTATAAAAATAGTTTCATTTGCATGACTTGTTGGCCATTTGGCTTTGATTGTTGGCAATACTTTATCAATTAAGAAAGATTTCATCACTTCTTTTGTAATGGAAGTGATTTATTTGTTTCCATTGTGCCTTTGTTCCTATTCACACTCCTTCTCCTTGCTACCTCTTTTGTAACAAATGAAAACAACCCAATCTTTTTAGAGAAAATTTCATTTTCTTGTGCATCAAATCTAGGTCTAGCCATAGCAACTAGGAACATAACCTTACTAACATAATTCTTGTTTTTACATGTTCGATGTGGTAGCTCCTCCCCTACTACCAAGTAGTAGGTTGGGGATTTCTTTATCATGTAAAACTACTTTTCATTAATATGGATTATATTGACCATAGATTTGAAAAGTTTGGTCATTTGGTATACTTTCTTGTTCTAGTATGGACAAGCACCACCTCAATCAAATGTGATTTGATTGCACTTGTATGGTGCAGTATAACTCCTTTTTTTTTAAGTTTGATTAGTGATGTCTTTTTAACCCCCAATGCACTTGCAAGAGACCTATAAGTAGTTCGTTGATGTATAAGAATTGCCATAGGTTATTGCATGTTCACATTAGGTCCCTTTCTTTTACATCTGTTTATCTTTCTATAACTTGCATCCCCTGTTTCCTTAACTTGACACAAAATGCATTAAATGACTCTCATTGAAACTAAATATGCTAAAGCTATCTCTCTCGTTGTAATACTGTTCAATTTACCTTAACAGCTTGGGTTTAATAAAATCTTATAAATGGATATATGCTCTTCATTTGATAAGAACATTCTTCTTTTACACGATAGTTGCCTTAGTGATTCAATCATATTATCCCCCATATCTATCTCTATTTTAAAAGTTTATAGATGTTAAACTTTTTAGTAGACCATATAATCCAATGAACTTTTTCCTGCAGAAAAAATGCTCAAGGGAGTTTGGGCTATATTTTAAATTAAGCAAGCTTATAAGAGATGAAAAAGATGCAGGCTACAACAAGGTACTCTACTTGTTAAGTTATTAAATTTAATTACCCATTCATATTGAGAGTTGTTACTGTTATAATGCTATGTAGGTATATTGGGATCTTACTTGGTTTAAATAAACTATGAAAACTTATTGGGATTCATAAATAAAGTGTTAAGGAATTAGGGGTTTATAATTTGAGCACGAGGCAAGGAATTTTATCAATGCTTTCAGCTGTGTGGTTTTCTCAGTAATAGAGTTTTGTTCTGTGTATCTAATCTGTATGAGATTGTAGTCAAGGCTCATGGCTCTTTTGAAAAGCTTCCCCTTGTTCTATTTCAAAGGGGTTGAGTTGATTTTATGCATGGATGTATTATTTTCTCTCCACTTGGTTCTGTTTGGTTACTTTTGCATGTCTAGAATAATTTATTTTTTACCACTGCTATTTACCTTCTAATAGTATTTTCTCCTTGTATTTTACCCAAAAATATATTTTTATAACTTTAAGTACTATGCATATTTGACATCCAACCAAAGTGATTTTTTTAACCTAAGCTAAGATTCACCATATTTTTTGCAAAACTTTTTGAATTAGAGTTGAGATGCTTGGCAGGATGTGGGATGGGGTAGTGTCTTAGTTGGAATTTGAAAAATCAACATTTTCACTGAAAAGCATGAGCCTACATAAAACTAGTTTAGGTATTGAATTCTAGAGATTGAGTGTAATCATACAATTAAATGTCAAAATGATTATAACAAGTGAGCAAATGATTATCCATTCTTAACAAGAGATGGTAGGGTTAATGCAACTAATCTATCTCAATGATCTAGAGATGGTAGGGTTAATGCAACTAATCTGTCTCAATAAAAGCATTACAAAGTCAATTTTTTCCACCGATGATCTTTCACTAGAAAAAAATCATTTTGAAACTTCCAGCTCTAGTTTCATATTTATTTCTTCTAATGAAATCTTATATACAAAAGGAAATAAATTAGAGTGAAATTCAATAATTCATTTAGTCATATGTCTATAACTTTGTCCCATAACAACTTGCAACAATTGACTATAAGAGACAAGAAAAATATGTACATGTTTATTTTCCTATTTTTAACTATATTATGAGTTAGTAATATGAGCATTCACTTATGTGGCTTTAGATAATTTATTTTAGACAATCAAACATATTCAAAATGACTAAAAAGGCTAAAAAATTTGATAAAAATTAATCACATTAAAAAATGCATTT